ATGAGAATGAATATTGTACTATTTTATAATGTAATTCTGTGATAGAAAAATTTCGAAAAATTATTTAATGTGTTATGGATTGTAAAAAATATACTGAGTGTTTATAATTAATTATATTACTAAAAGACTGGGTTTTTTGAAGAAAGCTATTGAGGATATTAAACGAATATTTCAGAAATTATTTGTATAAAAACATTAAGATGAAAATATTTATTTACACGCAGCTTCTGAGAAAATTGCATTTTGAAATTTTTTAAAATATTCGTCTATTATGAAGAGAAAATTTCTAACAATTTTGTGTTGCTATAATAATGATTTAATTTAAAGATTGTTTAATTTTGTTAATTTAGTGATTTTATTTAATTTAACACATTTATTAATATTATTTAATGTAACATGTTCAATGTAACATGTTATTGATATTCACTTAATAATTCATTTTGTGATACATTATTTAACTCAATCCTTCTATTGATATTTAAAAAAATTAAGTAATATTTTTTTAAATAAAGTGATAGGTGAAAAAGTACATATAAAAGATTTCTTGTTATTTTTCAGAAAAGCTGGTGAATCAAGTACTCTCTGGCGATGTTTTGATTAATCGTTCAAGATTACATACTATGTGACACTAGACTTGGTGGCGCCATCATATCGTACAGCCCACGATATATCTTTCAATGCATCCGAGGTCGAAAGCAATAAATTTTATTCTGGTGCTAAGTGTCGTGGCATACATACCGATATTTGTAACAATTCATCTAAGTATTACGCTTATCGTGCCATACAAGATAAATGGCTACGAAAATCATTGCTGAGCATCATGAATATTCATTATGATCTGAATTGTACAGTGTGTTCCACAAAATTTGCATACAATTTTTGCTGATGTGTTTTGCGATTAAATGTAAAACTGAAGGTTGTAAAATCACAATTAAAAAATTAGGTCTCTAAATTAAAATACGATATTTTTTTAATGTGAGTAATAAAGTTGTGTATTGATTTGAATCAAAATTGATGTCACTGGTTTGAAAGCACTGTTAATATTGAATTTGATGGAATTAAACAGAATTTCTGGAAAATTTGCTTGATTGTAAAACCAGTATTACGTTAATAATGGATTCATATTGGATAGATGAATAATTCTTTGAAATGCGAACAAAAAGATATTTACTGCATATTTCATATTTTTGTTTTAATTCTTAACGAAGCATTTAACGGAGCAAAAATCAAAGAAAAATTATTATTCCCTAACAGTTGTATTATTTGTTAATAGTTAACTCATTTTTATTCTTATAAGTCATAATTTTTATTTTATTATAATAATTATAATTGTTCTATTATAACAGTTATAATTATTCATTCAGAAATAAAATACAAATATTTGGCAATAACATGAAATTTGAATTTATAAGTACAAAATTTATTTTATTCTCTGTTTTACTGTTTTGTTACCTGATAATATTAGAGTTTCGTAATTTTTGTTTTAATGATACGCATTTCTGAAAAGGCTAAGAACCGCTGATGTGTATTAATCCCTGCCATAAATTGCAATCGATTTCTAAAATCACGGTTCAGTTGGAAAGGAGATTTCTCGTGTGAAAATATGCTGTATTTATATTTCTTGTATTAACTGGTAAATGTACAAGAATATACGGAGTATTCAGAATGTAGGAAATATGGAGCATACAGAATATTAGAAATGTAGATTATATTGAATATTGGAGATATAGAATATATGGAATATATAGAAAATATTGAATATTGAAAATATGGAATGTATTGAATATATTTAATATTGAAAATATAGAATATATGGAGTATATTGAATATTGAAAATATAGAATATATGGAGTATATTGAATATTGAAAATATAGACTATGTAGAATATATTTTTTAACATTCTATGAATGTTCTATGAATATTAAGGACATAGAATCGAATAAAATATGAAGATCAGAATAGAAAAATACAGAAAACAAAATAAAATATAGAACATAAATAAAAAATGTACTTATACACTGTAAAAGTACACGTAAGAATATGTGGAACACGCAATAAAATAGAACAAACCGTAACAAAATAAAAAATGAAATAAAATAGACCACAGAAAACAGAATAAAGAGCAAAATAGCACACAAGCGTTAGAAGAAGTAACGTAGTTAAATACATTATCATCAGTTCACGCTTCTTAAACTCACCGAAGCAAGAAGTCCGTAGGATCAAGGACGATATTTCCATCAATTTGTAAACAATTAAGATAATTGGTTCTTGAAATTAACTGCATTATTCCTAATCACTACATACTGATATTAATTATGCAAAAACATACAAATAATTCTGATAGTTAATAGTCAATTAGTTAGATTCGATTTCAATGATTTTTTAAATTAAGTTTTTTGTGAACAAATTTTATTCTCCACTTTTTATTTATTTTGAAATAAATTATTAATAAACGTCTTATAATAAATAATACTCTCTGTATAAAATAAATAATTTTATAAAATAATAGCAGAAACATCCTATAGTAAATAAAACTTTAAAGAAAAAATAAATAATGCTGTAAAATAATGTCATAAACACCCACAGTCAATTTGTATTATTTTCCAAATAAAAATGATTTAAAGTAATATAAATAATGCCATATAGTAAATTTAAATTATATAGATTGTCTAAATAATATGTACAATTTCACTAAACTAAATAACTGAAAAAATGTTAAATTATTATATTAATTATCTTAAAATGAAAAATGTTAAACAAGACACTCTTTCAATATCAATGTTATATAAATTTTTGAGTTCTTTTTTGTTTATGATATTTGTATTCAAGTTTGCATATTTTAAATCACCCTATTATTATAATTAATATAATAAACAAACATATCTTTCATAAGCAAACAAATTTTTATTTTTCATATTTTATGAACAAATTAAGTCATTTAATAATATTTTATTTTTCTGAGCATTAAAAGAAAAGACACATTTTGCAAGTTTTTGAGATGTAAAATTTAGTTTATTATACTTATAGTGTTCACTATTATTATACAAAATATTCATTATGATTCAAAAACATTTGCTATAATAATACGATAATATTTATTATTATTGAAAAATATTTACTATTATTATACAAAAATATTTACTATTACATCAAAATTGTTCAACATGTTAAACATTGAATATTTAAAAAATTTCCCAATAGAAATAAAAACTGAGAACAAAATCAAACTTCCTTTTTGTCATCAACGACCCAGATTGCTTATGTAGGGTTAATAATACTCTATACACTGTTAACTCATCTGCATCAAAAGCGAATATTCATTCATCTCACCGGTACATAGGAATTTATGCCAACTTCCAAGTGATGTTCGCGATTCCAAGAATATTTCTCATAGCATTGAGTACTGCATACACGTTATGGAGGCTTTTTCTCCACTATTATGTATGAAATTTTATACATCACTTCATCATGCGTATAACAGTATTAAAGCGAACAACAGAATTTTTCAAGTCACGATTCCTTATCTATGATAGATCGAATAGAGCTAAAAAAAGTTAGGTGCTGGTTATTTGATTCGATAAATCATGTACAGAAAAAGAACGTTTCAGCGATATTATTCAAATCTTTCAGTAATGCAAATAGATTCATTTCACTGGGAAATTAATGGTGTACAGAAATAGGGTTAATTTGAATTATTATATTCGATTCTTTTATGTTGCTTTGTTGCGTGATTAATTGCAACATTTGTAATGGAACGAGAGTTGAGAAATATTATTTTACTTGTTCTTTTATAATTAATTAACTGGAGTGAATAAATTATAGGTGCATTTTGAGAACGTGAAGGGTGGAGTAGAATTATTTGGAAATATTTTGAAACATTCTGAATTCTTAGAATTTTCTGATTCTCAAATTTTCGGAGTTTGAAATACTGTGAGTGGCAAACTTATAAATACTCAAATTTTATATTTCACAATTTTCTAATTTTCCAATTTTCCAATTTTCCAATTTTCCAATTTTTCAAGTTTTCAATTTCCCAATTTCCTAATTTCCTAATTTCTCAATTTCTCAATATCTCAATTTTTCAATTTCCCAATTTCCCAATTTCTCAATTTCTCAATTTCTCAATTTCTCTATTTCCCAATTTCTCAATCTCTCAATTTCTCAATTTCCCAATTTCCCAATTTCCCAATTTCCCAATTTCTGAAGTTCTCAAAATCTAAACTTCTCAAACTCACAACTCTCAAATTCTAAGTTTGTCAAATTCTCAAATACTCAAATTTACAAAGTTCCAATATTGCAAATTCTCAAATTCACAGATTCACAAATTCACCAATTCCTAAATTCTCAAATTCTTAAAATTCTCAAGTACCTAAATCCTCAAATTCCTAAATTTACAAATTCCTAAATTCTCAAATACTTAAATTTCCAGATTCCCAAATGCTACAATTTTAAATTTCTCAAACCCTCAAATTCTTAAATTCTCAATTTCACAATGTGCCCATGTCCCATGTACTCAATTTCTTAAAATATAGAATTCCTAAATACTCAAATTCTAAATTTTAAAACTCTCATATTTCCGAATTTCCAAATCTCTAAACTTCTAAATCCATAAATTTCTACACGCTTAAATTCCCAAACCCCTGAACCACCAAACTCCCAAATCACTAAACTCCGACATAACTAAATCCCCAAACTCCCAAATCTCAAAACTCTCTTAAATCTTTCAAACCTCCAAGTCTCCAAATCCGCAATTATCCCTCAACCCCAAAACTCAAATCCCGAATCTCCAAATTCTCAAAAACCCACAATCCAATTAATCCCGCGTCTCCAAAAGAATCCCGAAAACGCTCGGCGTCCTTGCGTCACATTACATCTTTGCTCCCCATGATGTCGTCCGCAATCTCACAAATCTTAACCACCCAAACCTTAATCTCTCAAACCTTTCCATGAACACCCACGAAATCTCTGAATCGCTGTCTCTTATCATCTATTTACTTACGACGTCGTTCGGTGAGCAGCTGCTGACAGTTTTGATCGGACGAAGCCTTCAAGTTTTACGAGACCTTCGACAAGCGTTGTCCTCGCATTTCACGAGACGCAACAATGCAAAAGACGAAACGAAACGACGGGAAACACACTGGATCGTTTCGCCGATGAGCAGATCGTAGCGGATTTTTCTTCCTCTTGGTTCAGCGAGGCCAACAGCAAGAAAGATGCTTTCGATACACGCGCGAGTAACGGGAGGAGACTGCGAGAAACGATGTCGGTGTTCGATCTCTCTTTCCCTCTCTTTTTCTCCGGCTCTCTCTCTCTCTCTTGCGCGAAACCCTCGACTACAGGGTGGTGCATGCGCGTTGGCGAGCGTCGGGGTTGCTGACGTCACGTTTAGGGTGAAACGAAGAGTTTTGTTTTTGTGAGTGGCTCGATATCGAAACACCGCTTCTTCTTTTGTGAATACAGCCGGAGAGGGGATTTTTAGGTTTTTAATTGTTCGCGAACGGCACTTTGGCAAATAAGGCTCTTTTGTATCGCTGGCTGGGTCAATTTTACTTTTCGTATGTAGGGTAAATGGATATTTTGAGGTGAAGCTCCGTTTTCGAGAGGATGATTTATTTAGCGAGATTGTTTTAGCTGGAAAGTGCAGAGGTGTGTGGAATTTCGAAGTTTGAAAATGGGTGAATTATTATTTCATCTGGGAATTTGTAATTTTTGAAATTTTGAGGTTGTACATTTTTTAGGTAGTTGAGTTTTGAAGTCATTATTTTTCAATTTTTGCCCTTTTTAAATTTTCAACTTTTCATTTCTTCAAATTTTCATATTGTTAATTTTTTATTCTTCAAATTTCTGAACCTTCAATTCTTCAATTTACTAATCTCCCAATCTCCCAATTTCCCAATTTCCCAATTTTCCAAATTCCCAAATTTCCAATTTCCCAATTTCCCAATTTTCTAATTTTTCAATTTTCCAATTTCCTAATGTTTCAATTTTCCATTTTCCATTTTCCCAATTTCCCAATTTCCCAATTTCCCAATTTCCCAATTTCCTAATTTTTCAATTTCCCATTTTTCCAATTTCCCAATTTTCCAATTTTTCAATTCTCTAATTCGCTAATACCTTAATTTCCTAATTTCTTAATTTCCTTATTTCCCAATTCCCTAATTTCCCTATTTCCCTATATCCCGATTTCCCTATTTCCCAATTTCCCAATTTCTTAATTTCTCAATTTCCCAAATTCCTAATTTTCCAATTTCCCTATATTCCAAATTTCCAAATATCAAGTTATCAAAATAAATTCCCGTGTTCTAAAGTTATCAATTTACCAAATCACCACATTTTCATATTTTTGTCTCCTTAAACTTCTTCAAAGAAATTATCAAATCCTAAAATTTTAAATTTCTTCCTTTACAAACTTTTTAATCCTTTAATCCTAATTTTAGTCCTAAATTTCCCAATTTTTAAATTCTAAAATTTCTAGTTTCCAAGCAATCCAATTCAAAAATATAACGTACTTAGTTGTTCTTAAATGTAATGGTAATTGATTCAATATCGAATTATTTATTGCCTTTTCTCGTCTGAAATTTGAAAGAGAAAACTGATTTTTATTTTTGAACTGTACAAATTACATTAATTTATTACCGAGTTTTTAACTTTCATTTTCAGTAAGATTTATATTGCTTTATGTAATTAAAAACGTTTAATTGGTACTTTTATTAAAGACATAGCTACTGAATTGCTGTTCTTTAAAAATCTATAATATTTATTATTCATGAATCAGCACTTTAATTGGACGTTTGATAAAACAAGTTATTTAGGACATAACATAATGTACATATCAGTATTTACCGCTCCTTTTTTACTATCTTTTTGTAGCGAAATGAGACGAACGGCATAATGACGTTAATTAGTGATACAGTATTTCATGTTCGTTTTGCGAACGTGACAATTATCACCATGAACGTCGTTGTAAAATTGAGATTAAATGACTACGTATACAAAATGTAGGATTCCATGCATATTTTATGAATTATAATTACTTTATGCATTATGAAACACGTAATTAACTGTTAATTAACTAACATAATTAATTACTGGTAGAATGTCGGCGCCATACTGCGGAGCATCACAGGAATTAACGCTGTTGCCTGTTGTTCAGATTTTAATAGAATCTTCTGAAAGATGAAACAGTGTTTAACTCGCGACTTAATTGAAATTAATTGTTTAATTATAGAATTAAATTAAAATTCTCCGTTTTTCTAGGTGTCGTTTTGTAACGAAGGGAATTAAAAATTTAATTATAATATTCTTTGCTTAAATACATTTAATTAAGCCTTCGTAGTGGCAGACTTCATACTTTTGACTCTGAAGATTAAACTTTATACATTTACCTGTATTCAGTTGTATATTGCTAAATTAAATTGATTTCTACTTTTAATATATTATTTTCTAAATAGTATTCTTAGAATGTTTATAAATGAATTTGCCTTAAAAAAAATAATAAATATAAAATGAAACAAATAAAGCTGTTATACTGCTTTCTAAAATGCTGAGTACTTTATTATTTTTCCATAAATAGATATGTAATGTTAATACTACCATAAAATTATAAAATCTAGCTACGTTGAAAAATATTTCAAAATTAATTTATTTCGAAATATAAATAACTTAAATACTTGTAGAGATTTGACGATTATCAGTAATTTAACGTAACAAGACAGGAAAATATAATATGTATTAACAAAGTGTACTGAAAATATCAAATATTTTGTATATTTATTTATAATAATTTCGAAACAATCTACTTTGAATAATAAAGAAAGAGATGTGGACTCACGCAGATATTAACATTATAAATTTGTTATTGTATTTGTTATAACATTTATTACAGCAAATTTTCAATAATATTAAGAACAAAGTCTCAACCTAGCAAGCTATAAAAATTTGTAGTTATTTATTACAAACTCTCAATATATGAAAGAAATGATAAAATAAATACTGTGTCAAAAATATACATCAAATATAACTTTGCGTCTTTTGAAATGCAGTCTCTGTAAAGATAAAACGAAAAATAATTTCTTCATCTTTAATACAGACGCTAAGTGCTCGTTCAAATAAAAAACAATGGCGGCGAATAAATCGATAAAAAAGGATTTAGCGTTCCGAAGTCCAAAGGAACATTGTGCAGCATAGTTTTGCAACAAGTCGATGACCGAGAAACGAGTTTACTGCTGGATATACATGCACTCTCAAGTGCAAATCTGGCTTTCCTGAGGACAATGGCAGCTAAAAGGAAACAGGTCCTTACCACCCGCAATATTATCCACGCACTGGCACGCTTTATGTTTAATTTACAAGTGGAACTTTCAAAACCGATAAATAATACTATATTCGTAATACAAGTACAAACATTTAAAAGAAAGCTCTTTTATTGTGCACGTAAACGTTTGAGAAAGGTGATTTTATGTATTACATCAGAAAGAAAGTTAACTTTTTATAATTGCGTTTTATACTCAAGTTGACGTTCGTAACAAAAATATTTCGGGGATGTAATATTTAGAAAAGATATTAAAGATTTGTTAGTTAGCTTTTTATATTATTAGTCAATTTATGTTCATCGTAAAGTAATTTGTTTACAAAGTCGAAAGTATTTTCGATGTTTCAAATGTATGTTTTCAAATTTGAATTTTCGCGCGCGTTATTCGGAAAATAGTACTACCGGCGTCATCCGGTGGCGAGATGCGTAACTATTGAAAAATAAAAATTTTTTTTCTATAAAACATAAAGTAAAAGGTTTAAAATAATTATTATTGTTATTTATTAAAATAAATATTGTTATATGATCAAATTAGAAATTAAATAATATCACGAAAGCTTGCTGAAAGCTCTGGAAAAAGAAATAAATAGCCGGTCATTCTATGGACAAAACGTGCATCGCCATCTAATGGCGAAACAGATGAACAAATAACAAAAATGCATATCCAACATGCATATAAGGAATTACAAAAAGTCATATTTTATGATTTTCTGGACCAACTATATTTCCTAAGATATTCTAGAATAAACTATTATTGATACTTGATGCATAGTATTGTCGATTAATCCTAGAAAATCAATATTTTCAAAGGAGCACTATTTCAAATTTGGCGCCATTAGTTCCTACCTTTCACCGCTAGATATATGTATCTCATCGATAATATAGTTTTCATTCTAGTCGCTAAAAACCATTGTCACAGATGTTTCCTTTCGAAAAAAGGTGTTTATTTGCAAAATTTAGTCAGAATTGAAATATCCTGAAGTTTCCTTGCCAAAGTTACAAGAGTTATTGGTTTTGTACTGAAATTACATCTTTAGGTAAAGAAGAATTCTAGAACTACTATATCGATTGGAACTGATTTTGTACCACGGAATTTGAGGTTAGTTTTGAAATTAAAATTTAAAATACTAATAATTGATAGATATTTATTATTTGAAACAATAACCGGAAACACGAATAAATTACATAGAACATGTTTATGTATACATAAAAAAAATGCGGCAAATTATTATTTTCTACGTTTGCAGCCGATTTGTTATATGAATACCAATATTTGTTGCAAGAGCAAAGGAAAAAGATACCGCTCGATTTTTATCGGATCTATGCATGTTAACAAAATAAAATCCATGTATTTCTTTGTTATTGTTTCTCTGATATTATAATTTTCACACGTATGAAATATAGTTATTCAAAGAGGTCCTTCCAAATTCATTTAGTGTTTTAAAAGTTATTGTGCTTTTGTGTTATTTCAAATATAATAATCTCCTATATTCTATCATATTATTCCCATTATATTATATTATATAATTCACGATATATACATATATGTATATTAATAAATAATCATTTTGCAACATATCTGCAAGATTAAGTTAAAAAAAATTAATAAATTTAAATAATTACAATAATAAATTTGTTAATAAACTATAAAAAAATATAAAATTCTAAAAAATATAACGTTAGAATAATTATACAGCAACCAATGAGAGTGGCTGCACGCTATTGATGGATTACATGATGTCTGATTGGCTACTGTACACTAGCAATCATTCTTGCACTTCGATTTGATCTATTGGTCAATTACGTGATGTCTAATTGGCTACTGTAAACTACCAATCGCACTTACACTTGAAGAGGTCGCCGCTGCTTAGTTTTGTTTTGGAAGTCGAGGAGGTCGGATCGGCCCTGTCAACACTTACCGGTACGAGTCAA